ACGAATTTCCCTACAGGCAGGTCTCTCGGTTAGCCCTCAGCCAAACAAAATTGTGAATCTAACCCTACCGGTTAGTGTACAGCCTCGCAGTCAATCTCGACAGTCGAAATCAGCAAGTCATTGCAGGCTTACCCTCCCCGGGAGCGAGGACCTCCGAGCTAGGGGTGCAGGCGAGGTGAACGGCGAGGAAGGTTGCCCTTCTGAGCCGCCTCATATCGCAAACACTAGCGGTTAATGGAAGACCAAAAATTCGCCGAATTTTGGGCCTTCCATTAACCGCCTCTCATCGCAAAACAACTGACTTTGCTGTCTTGAGAAGTTCCCTTTTGTAGAACCATCTGTTCTCAGAAGGAGGCTGGAATGCGAACCTCACAAGATACTGGCGGTCGGGGCCTGTGCCCCACTCGTCCTCAATCCACTCCACGTCATATCCCGTGCCAGGGATTGGTGGACCGAATTGAGGGAACCGGTCCGGGAATGCATCAGCTGGCGTAAAAGGCAGCAACTTAGATGCATGGAAGACCGGGTAGGTACGTAGATGCAGCGGGACATCGATGACATACGATGAACCGAAGGGATCAGCGCCCACTGTATCTAGGACCTGCCATGGACCCAGGTAACGTGGCAACAACTTGGGAGAGATATCCTCCTCCCTCGACAACTCAGAGCTGGCCACCCAGACATGGTCACCAGTGCGGATAGGGGAAGGCCGCCTGTGGCGATTTGCTTGTTCAATCATAGCCTTTTGGGCTTTGAACAAGTTCGCGCGGTCTCTTTCCACATCTAAACGATAACGTCTGGTGAACTCGGTTGTGCCTGGTGTCAGATCAGGCTTAGCCTTGTCGATGATGTCATCGAGAGGCTGTCATGGCTCACGTCCCCAGTGTAACCGGTAGCGACTGAACCCTGTCGAGGAGTGGACACACATGTTATACATGAGCTGTGCCCTCGCCAAGTGAAGATCCCAGTCTTGTTGATCTGGCGAGATGACAGGACGCAGCTCCTGGAATAAGGCTTGGTTCATCACTTCAGCCAAGCCATTGGCTTCAGGATGATGACCAGAAGTCATGTCCAGTCGTGAGTGCAGATAGTCCTTACAGTAGGATTGTCACTCATCGCTGCAAAATTTGGGGTCTCGATCACTGACAATGGAAGTGGGCGGTCCATGGTGTGTGACCCACCTCTCAGAAAAGGTTGCTCTCACAGCCGGTACCCTAGCTACCTCTGGGAAGGGGATGAACTCTGCGTATTTGGAGAACCTCCACGCAGACCATAACCTGACGCATGCCACGAGGGGTGGTCTTGCCTAAATCTGTGAAGTCTATCGACAAAGATTCAGCAGGGCCATCAGGTATGGGTAAGGGTTTGAGCAGTCCCAAATGAGGTCTACGGTGGACCTTATTCCTTTGGCAGAGCTCACAGGTGTCCACATAACGGAGCATCTCACTCCGCATCTCCTTCCAGAAGAAGCGCTGCGACAGGGCTGCATAAGACTTTAGGAACCCGAAGTGTCCACGGGCATCATGACACTCTGACATCAGCAGTGTCTTGAGCCGCTGGTCCTGGGGAATGCACAAACGCTCCTCACCTCTGCTGCAAGTGTACAGTAGATCTGAACTCAGAACATAGCCTGGTTCAGAATTAGGATTTGCTTGCAGATTCCTGACAATGGGTCCGAAAGTCTCGTCCTGAGGCAGTAGATGAGCAATGGTCTGACGAGTCTCCTCTCCAAAGGAGTGAGTAGAGGAGATCAGCGCAAAAGAGTCAGGCCTACGAGAGAGGGCATCTGCTACCTTGTTGTCACAACCCTTCTTATGCTTCAGTTCAAAGTCAAACATGTCAATGAACTGAATATACTGTACCAGCTTATTGTTCAACTCTCCCTGGGACTTCATCCATTGTAGGGTGGAGTGATCTGAAAAGATCTTGAAGTGCCTGCCCAGGAGAAAGTGCTTCCAATGTTTCAGGGCACAGACAAGAGCATACAACTCTTTCTCGTAGGTAGAGTCCTGTAACTTTTGAGTCTTGATCTTCTATCTCATGAACTCTACAGGCCGTAGACCATTCCCATCATCCTGCTGAGGAACTGCCCCAATGCCATACTGACTGGCGTCAGTGGTCAGGATGAATGGCAAAGTGGGGTCAGGTAACTTCAGTACAGGCGCACGAGTCAAGGCCTTCTTGAGCCGTGTGAAGGCCAGTTGACAGTGGAGGGACCAAAGAAAGGGAGTGTCCTTCTTTGTTAGGTTAGTCAGGGGTGCAGCCACCGCAGAAACGTTCCTGACAAACTTCCTGTAGTATGAGGCTAGACCCATGAAGGACCGAACATCCCTCACTATCTGAGGCTGAGGTCACTCCTGTATAGCAGCAATCTTAGCTGCTTCAGGAGCCAGACCATCTCCAGAGATTACATGACCCAGATAGATGACAGAGGGAACTCCAAAAGAGGACTTCTCTCTGTTGATCTTGTACTGGTTGTCACGTAACGACTGAAGGACAAGAGCCAAGTGCTCCGCATGTTCCCTGGCAGTTTTGTTGAACACCAGGATGTCATCTAGGTAGACAACCATAAACTTGTCCAGGTAAGGCCTGAAGATGCGGTGCATCTCTGTCTGGAAGGTGCCTGGGCATTGCAAAGTCCAAATGGCATGACCAGGAACTCGTAAGTCCCATACCCGGTCTTGAAGGCTGTCTTATAGACATCCCCCTCTGCCATCTCAATCTGGTGGTAGCCAGATTTGAGGTTGACTTTGCTGAACACTGTGCAGCCCTGCACCATGTCCACGAGGTGATCGATCCTAGGAAGCGGCTCAGTGCTCTTCCTAGTGATCTTGTTGAGACCCATGTAGTCAATGCACATTTTGAATTCGCCGTTCCCTTTAGGTACAAAGAGAACAAGTGCACCAAATTCAGATGTGCTGGGTCTGATCCAGTCCTTGCTGGTCAGGGTCTCAAGCTGCTTTCTGAGCTCCTCAAGCTGCTTTCTGAGCTCCTCAAGCTCAACAGAGGACATCCTGTAGATGCGGCCCTTGGGAGGGACCGCTCCAGGCAGCAGCTCGATGTGATGCTTGGTTGGCCAGTTGGGTAACCCAAAGGGCTCCTGCATCAGATCAGCATACTGATCTACCACCTGTTGTATCTCAGGAGGATAGGAAACAGAGGGAGCATTTGTCTGCTTGACCAGAGCAATAAACAGACGCTCATGGTGGTATTGGCGAGAGAGAGTATGAAACTCCCTCGCTCTCATGCAGTAGCAGGAGGTCTTAGGGTGATGATCAACAACRATCATGCATGGCTGATACACACCCTGGCTGTCCGGTAGTTCAACTCTAGGGATCTGCCAGTCGATCCTAGGGTTGACTGCCCTCAACCACTGCATGGAGAACACCAAATCAAAGGGGAGATCAGGGAAGATGTAAAAGTTCAGACTGTGTCTGACTTTTCTTGCAGTATCGAAGGTCACAGGGATACCCTTGACCTTCTCCCTGATGCTGAATACTGTAGAGTCACCAATCCGCACCAGCAGCGGTTGCTGCAGCTGCTGAAATTTCATGCCCAGATGCAGCTTTTTAACTGCACTGGGAGACATGAAGTTCCTGGTGGCCCCACAGTCCAACAGCCCAGTGATCCTGGTGCTGGTGATCAGTGGTCGGAGCATGATGAGATCAGTCTTGCATTTCTTCTGTTCTTTCAGATGAAAGAAGAAGGCAGCAAGGGACTGGAGCTCATCCTGCCCCAGGTCCTGATCAGGTCAGGATCCTCATAACAAAAGGATGCTGTCCGCGCAGTCCCCAAACTCATACGGTCACCTGCAGTCTCAACTGAAACAGCTGCAGATTCACCTACCTGAGTAGATGAAGGTGCAGCACTGGGGGGAACTGCAGTCCCCAGGGTCTGTTTCAGTTTTTTGACTGCCCTGGGCCTGGCATGTAAGGACAGTCCTTTAAAAAGTGTTGTCCCTCACACCTCAGGCAAACCCCTCTCTCCTTTCTTCTTCTCCAAACTCCCTCCTGGATCTTGAGGTCATGCCAGGGGAGTGTGGAGGGATTGAGAGGTTCAACTGGCATGTGGACGTCTCTGGGCAGGTTAGGGCGCTGGGAAGAGGAAGGCCGACGTCCCTTTTCCTTCCCCTTGGCACTGGCTGAGGCTGTGGTCGGAGAAAACTTTTTTGCAGCTGCAGGGCTCCCAAAACAGCCTGAGTCACGGCTGCTGCAACATCTGTCTCAGCAGCAGATCGAGTCCCAGCTGAAGGTGTATCGGCCTGGGAATCTGAATCTGATCCTGAGGCAGACCCTGCATGAGTGAAGGTTGCCTTTCCCTTTCTACCACCTCGAGGGAAGGCACCTTTCCTCCTGTCAGAGGATGGGGCTTGGACATGGAGCTTAGCCTCCATTTCCAGGGCTGCACGGCCAAAGGACCTCCAGTCCTTGTGCCCAGCGTTGTAAAGAGCAACAACAAACTTCTCAGGCGCTGCCCTGAAGAAGTTGGTCAGCAAATCATCAGGGCTCATGACCAACTCAGGGGTGGAGGTGAGTTGCTCAAACTCAAGAAACAAGGCCTGCAAGGTCCCGCTGTACCGCTGCTGTCCCAGGCGAGCAATCCTGCCAGCAGCCTTGCGGGCCCGTTCCTTGTCTGCAAACCGCTCCTCCAGGGCCTGCAGAAGTCTGTCCACCCCCAACCCAAAAGCCCAGTCCTCCATGGACTGCTGCAGACTGCTGGAAGTTGAGGTGGCCCACTTCAGTGCGGGTCCCTCCAGCAGTCCCAGAACAGTCGCCACGTTGGTCTGTTCTGCACAGGCGAAGCCCCTCAAGTAGGCTCGGGTCCCAGCAGCCCAGTCCCCAACATCGGTCTTGGGGTCACCCCTAAACTTGTTGGGAGCAGTGATCTTGGGACCTCTCTGGTCTCCCGCAGTAACAACAGCATAGGTGGCCTTTGCTGAGGCCTTTTGGGAAGGGGTGGATGACCGAGAAGAATGTACAGAGCCGGCATGAGATGGATGAGGAGAGGAAGGGGGTGAAGAATGAGGAGAAGATTTGGGCTGCAGCAGAGGGGTCTGAGGAGTGGTCAGCTTGGCGGCTGCCAGCTGAGCAGTCAAGCCCTGAATAGACTTCAGGATCTTGGTCTGCTGAGCTGACAGCTCGTCAACCCGACGCTCCAGCCGCACAAAACGATCATCCCAGTTTGTGAACTGGGAGTTGGTGATCTTGTGCTCCAACAGGATCATCGCTGCCATGTGTTTGGTGACCTGGGAGCAACGATCATCAGCGAGCGACCTTTCTAGCTGCTGCAACAGATATTCTCTTCTGGAATGATYTGTTGCAGCCTCTAGCTCAGCAGCCTCCTGCTGTTCCACTTCTGCCAGTCTGGCCTGTTGCTGCCGCAGTTGCTCTTCTAACTCCTTCAACCGCTGAGTAGCAGTCAGAGGTGGAGAAGGGGGAGTGGAGGCTGAAGGYTGTTCGCCTTCTACCTTCATCACCACCTCCACCTGTGGCTGCTGCTCTGTCCCCTGCTCAGACATTTTCCCAGTTCAAAACAAAGACCAAAAATAAAATAAACAGCAACCTGAGCTGCAGCGATAAACAGATTCCTGCAGACACACTGGAATCGCTGCAATCAGGGGGTTGGGTTAGAAGGGTGTCTCTGGGGTCAGGTGTCAGACAGACTGTAAGCCCAGCAAAATCAATCACACGATTTCTTTTTACTAACCCTGGACCACACTGGAGCTAGTGATGTCACTCCACTACTTTTCCAGAGGCCCACTAGAATTATAGTGCCCACTTAGAAAACAAGTGTCATCAGTGGGAATGATCGAAAATGGTTAGTACAGACAAAAGAGGTCAATCACCACAAGCGATGCAGACAGTTACCCTGTAACCTGACTCAAACTCAATTTTAGACCCTGATGACTCTGGCGGCCATACCCTAGGGTATGGCGAAGTACAGTATTCACTGAATCCAGTGGAATATTGCAAATCCAACTCTGCGATTCTACAGTATAGTCTATTTTTGGATTGCGATTCACTGGGGACTGACAGAACTGAATTCTGACGGACAAAACTGGAGTTATGACTGACCCTAGGTAGCACAGGCTAAAAATAGACTCAGCGCAAAACAACAATTCACAGTATCACTACCTTTCCAGTACAGAATTCACTGTTTGAGCATCCCAGATCAATTGCAATGCAGTATAGCAGTTACAGAACCAATTTGGACCAGAAAGAGTCACCAGAGGGAGAGAAATGAGCAGAGAGAGGTAGGGCAGAGATGGCTATGGCTGCCTTGCAGTCTGCGATTTTCACATCCAGTCACTGACAGACAGATAGACCATTACAATTCACTAAACTAACCCTATCTGGATCGCAATACAGGTAGGTGCATGGAACGGACTCACTTTCTGAGAATCTTGCAGGTGATGATGAAGATCTGGCTATGGCTGATAATACCCTTATCTCGCCAATTTCTCCCAGATATTCCTCCTGATGATCCCATGCACATAACCTCCTCAAATTCGTTGATCCTCCTCAGGATCCTGTAGCGCTGCACTCCCTCACTCCAGATACCCTGTATCTGGTCCTGTGGCGCCCAGTATGCCAACACCAAAATATCTCGCCACAGTGCCTAGTAGCCACTGATGCTAAAAATAGCCCCAGATGGGGTTATTTCTTCAGGAGATTGACACAGACTGTCAATCTCTATCAGCGCTACCCCGGGATGATGCCACTCAGGGTTCCCTGATGTCCTCAGGGGTAATTCGCCACTCTGGGGTAATTCGCAGTATTACCCTCAGGGTTGGCTATGGCGAATTAGCCCTGTACTCGCCACTTCCTTACAAGCGCCCTGACAGGCTCAGTGCGCTTGCTCAGTGCAACCACTGAACACTTGAATCCACCGCTGAAAGTCTTCTTCCCTGCTGACTCAGTACTGGGGAAGATGAATCGCCATGACACTCTCGCCAGTATGTTGCCAGATGAAGAAGATGCCTCAGTGCGCTCAACCCTCAGTGTCCCAAATCCAATCTCCTCCGATACCAACTGTTATGAACTTGGTTGTCTGACGAATTTTATCGCCAATCACACACAGACAATCTCACATATGCCCATACATGCATAAGAGAAGGGGAGAGAGGAGACAGAGTCCAAACTGTACACAGGTGAAAATAAGCAGCGAAAGACAATCATGCACAGATGGGGAGAAGACACACAGTGTTTCTCAGTCTCTGACACAACTCCCAACAACCAATCACAATTAGAACCTG